TGTTAGTGAGGCAGTGTCTGGGTATGCATGTTAGTGAGGCAGTGTCTGGGTGTGTGTGTTAGTGAGGCAGTGTCTGGGTGTGCGTGTTAGTGAGGCAGTGTCTGGGTGTGTGCGCGTTAGCGAGGCAGTGTCTGGGGTGTGCGTGTTAGTGAGGCAGTGTCTGGGTGGGTGTTTGCTAAGGCAGCCCACAGAGCTTCTCTCTTACTGCACCCTCCGTCTCACTGGACAACACACCACAAACTCCTTCTATGAAGCAAATACCACCCTGGTACCCAAACCAGGCAGAGATGTCACTGGATATAAAACTATTGACCATCGTCCTTACGAACATTAAAAAGTACATGCTGATCAATTGGGATTTGTGCTAGTTATGAAAGGATGATTCTGTATTAGAATACAATCAATGCAATCTACTATATCAATACAGGAAAATAATTGTATGATTACATCATTTGATGCAGAAAAGGCGCTTGATAGATTCAGCATCCATTCTTGATAAAAGCACTCACCAGAATAGGAATCGATGGGGAATTTCTCAACAGAGAGAAGATCATGTATGCCAAGCCGAAGGCCAGCAGCTAGCTTGCATTGCCCTGTGAGCGCGGACCCAAGGGTTTCACTGTATCTCCACTCTTCATAGAGCCCTCGAAGTCTTAGCACTCCGGAGCTATTAGACACCAGAAAGAAACCAAAATATCCTAATTGGCCAAGAAGAAACAAAACTTGATTTGCAGACAATATTATCTTATATAGAATCCTCCCAAAATTCAATTAAAAAATGCTGAAACTAATTGATAAATTTGGCAATGTAGCAGGCTCTAATATCAACACACAAGAATCAATAGGATTCTTGTATATTAAGGATGAGGATTCTGAAAAGGAAATTTTAAACATACCATTTATAATAACCATCCGCAAGATGAAATACTTAGGGGTAAGCCTAACCTGAGAGATAAAAGGCTTGTACCGCAAAAAAAAAAAAAAAAAGAAGGTACAAAACCCTACTCCCAGAAACGAAGAGACTCACGTAAGTGGAAGTGCCCCATGTTCATGGTTCAGAAGACTCAATCTTGTGAACATGCCAATACTGCCCTCAAACCAAGCCCACTGCCAGCGAGTCCATGCTGACCCCTAGCGGCCCTACAGCACAGGGTAGAGCCACCCTGGGCGTTTCCCAGGCTGTAACTCTATGGGAGTGGAAATCCCTGTCTTTGTCCTGGGGAGTGGCTGGTGGTTTAGAACTGCTGACCTCGTGGGTCATAGCCCAATGCGTAACCACCACTGTGTCGCCGAGCCATCTATGAATATAGGAAAGTCTGATGGAGGAAGAACAAAGCCCTGCCCTTCTGTGGGGAGTAAAGACACCCAGGATATGTGAAGCCCTAACTGAGAGCAAGCAGGGGGCCTCTGGCTTCCTGGCCGCAGAGCCAGCCCCACAGGCACGGGTCAGACAGCCGCACTGACACAGTGACGGACGGAAGAACAAGAGAACCCGGAAGAGAAACAGGGCACCTTCAGAAAGCAGGCTTTTTATAGAGGACCGTCTCTTCAACAGATGGCGCTGGGAAAATTGTATCTCCATTTGCAGAAGAATGGAGGGGACCCTACCTCACACCATATACAAAAAGGGCGGTGGGGTGACTGAAGGGTAGAGTAAGGGAACATCAGACAAGGCACACAGGGCTCACCTCTTCCGATGGCAGGGTCAAGAGGGGGGGGGGGATGTCTTCTCTCACAGGCGTATATAATCTCGGCATGCAAGCCACGTCATACATGTACATGATGGGACAGGGGTGTGCTGGGAACACACACATAACAGAAAGGCACACACCTAACAAGACGGGCGGGCTCTCGAGTTGAGATGGCGGCCTAACCTTGGTTGTCCCTGAGCTCTTCTCCAGGGGAGCAATCTATGGTCCTTATGAGAAGGGGCGGGCCGTACTTGGGGTGGGGGGTCTGATGGCTCTTGAGGGCAGACAGCCTTCAGGCAGAGAGCTTTCCAGCAGTTCACCTTCAAGTGCATAGCAGCAACCATGTGCTTGCAAGCAGCACCTTAAAACAGGCATCATTATGGGGGACATGGTGGGGGACAGCTTTAGTTACAAGAATGTGACTGGGATTCATCTTTGACTCACGAGGATGAGGACCTTCCTGCACCGGAATCTGCCTCCAGACTCCTTCTATATGAGCACGGAGAATTTGTCCACAGACACTCTGTTCCCGGTCCTCGGTTTCGCACATGAGCTCAAGG